AATAATAAACGTAAACGAAGCATGGGAATCACCAGTTGTATTTGTCGATTGTACATTTCATTGTCCTACAAAACGTGCGAATACAATATGGTACATTTGGTACCCTTGTTACCTATTGTGGTATCCCACAATCTTGGCATAAAATTTGAATGATAAGAAGAGATTTGTAGTTCAGACGTGTTTACATATATAAAGATCCCCTATTGCAGTCAGCGTCGAGTATGCAAGACAATTGGCTACCGTATGGTAGTTAGGCTAATTAGAGTTTACTGATCCCCCAATTGATCNTATCAATAAATTTAATTTAACCAAATTGAGATTCGCGTTTATCCAAAATAAGCTTTTTATAACAAAGTTTATTTTGACATTAAAAAAATAAAAATGTATGAGAAAATGCATTAAAAAATAATTATAAGAAGAATGTAAAAAGAAAAGTTTAAAAAATAAACCTAAATTGCGTAAACTTAAAAAATATTTTACATTTTTTCTTATGTGCCGTAAATTTATATTTATAATACAGTTTAAATCTCTTTACACTTACAGTCATTCCATTTTATTTCTTAAGGATTCTTTTTTTTTTTGGTTGTCTTCTATTTAATTTAATAACTTCCTTTTCCTTTCCTATTAAACAAAGTAGCTATAACTACTACAAGGTTACTACTTATTCATTCTTTTAATTCAGTTCATATATCCCCCACCCCACCCAACACACCCCATCACATTCGTTTCATTCACGTGTTTTTTTTTTACAGTTTTTTTGCCCTTCGGTTTTTTTAGAATCCAAAAAGAAAAATAGCAACATTCTTTTACATTCGCTTCATTAATTCAACCATTTTTATTTATTTATATTTATTTAATAACTGTCTGTCGGATCTCATAATAATAGCAACAACAACATCGACTACAACTTACTACGACAGTAACAACAGCAACGTTTTTTTAATTTTAATAATAATTTTTTTTGCCCTTTACATTTTAATAAGAACTTAGGCATATTTTTGTTTTAAAGTAAAAAACATCAAATAAAAAAAAATTAAAGCAAACAGACAGACAGACAAAAATAAGAAAAGAGATAGATTCACAGACACACAGAGAAACTTATTATTATATATGAAGGACCATTTTGTATTTTTGATTATTATTATTATTTAACTAAATCACTCCAGAAAGAAAATTGCATATTCACATTCGCTTAATCATATATTGAAGAAACTATCATCATGTCTATAATAACAGCAGCAGCAACTACTGCAGCTGCAACAGGACCCACAACCAATAACAATGGCAATAGCCTAGCCACACCATCCATGCATAAACGAACTCATAGACATAAACGATCTCAAGCAATATCAGGTGACTTTGATGCAATGGGATTAGGCTTATTTAATTCACCACCATTAGCTTCTTCACCTATAAATATTCATAAACCACAACGTCAACAAGTACATTTACCACAACTGCCGCCATCTTATCAATCTCCAATTCCAATTCGCAACAACCATAGTAATGATGCACTATTACTTCTGCTGGTTAATAAAGTAGATGAAGATATGGATAAAGAGAATAATGAATTTGATAGATATTATCAATTTAATAATAAACAAGATTTCACTAATGATCCAACAGATGAACAATTTGCATTTCCTAATAAAGTACATACCCCAGATTTATTATCACCACCACCAATACCACAACAACCACAACATTCATTTCCGGTTTCATCTCCAAGGTCTCTACCTTCAACTTCACCAAATTTATCTAAAAAATATAGTATGCATTCTTTAAATTCACCAATACGGCTTCAACATAGAAGAAGTGCATCTCATGTTACGTCAACCAATCATAGCAATAGTAATAATAATAAGATTCCACCACCACGTTTCTTCTTGACTGAAGAAACTACAATGAGTAATGGAAATATCCCAAATCCAGTCATTGATTTAGATGAAATCTTAAATGTAAATTTAAATCTTAATGACAATAAAGAACAACCACAATCGGTTAAGAATAGACATATCCGTACTGAACTGCTTCCTGCATTTTCTTCACAAGATGAATTCTTAGGTTCTCCATTTATAAAACAACAACCAATTGTAACTCCTTTCTACTCGGCTACAAATTCATTCAATAGTAATTCAAGTATATTTCATCAACCAATTAGAGAAACATTACCTGCTGAACCAATTGTAGAAGAAGAAACTAATCATTCAATCACCATGGAAGAAATTGATCAAGTGACGGATATTTTAGAAGAAGATGAAAGCGAAGAAGAAGTTCAAGAAATGTTACCTGAAGAAATTGAATCATTTGTAGAAACCCCCACGATTCCAGCCCCATTACCTCCACCATTAACCCTCGGGGGAGGATCGAATTCAAGTTTTTATCAAATAACTTCGGCAAATAGTTCAAATTCAAGTCTAAATCCATCCAACCCCAAAATCACAATCGAGAAAACATTATCTAATTCTTCAAATGGTTCATTCTTTGATAATAAACGTTCAGCAGCTAAAGCAAATCGGTATCAAAGTTTTTATGATCAATCTAATCGAATCTCAAATGCAATGAAATTATCTTCAAGTACAGATAATGTTCACTTAATCAGAACCGATAGTAATGGAAGTGGAAGTGGGAATGGAAATGGAAATGTAAGTGTTGGAGGTAGTGGAGTTATTAATGGTAATGCTACACCCCCATTGGATACATCGTCAAATTCTGCCCAGAATGGTTCAAATAAGTATTTAAATCATTCATCATCATTACCAAGTTTGAAAACAAAGAGATCACTTACGTCACATTCATCAGGTGGTGGCGGTATTTCTGGGTCTGGATTTTCATCATCATCGGCAACAAAATTTCCACCACCTCCATTATCATATTCCATCAGATTTGGAGAATTTAGAAGAGCATCTCCATCGACTTATAATTATGAAGCATTGGCTAATTATTATTATAATAGTCAACATCAACATCATCATACTTCGAAATTAAGTAAAGATACTTCTGATATTCATATTGCATCACTAAACAATCACAATCGTGATAATATTAATAAATCTCCAAGTCCAAAGAAACAACATGGATTTAATTTTAGTCCAAATAGTTTAACCTCAGATCTTTCATCAGCCATGAATGATACAATCCATTCAACTGAACAATCATCAATGATTTCCGGGAATAATGAAGAAGAAATCACGCCTAGGACGGATAATTCAAGCGGTGAATCGATTTGTGAACCTGAACCAGAATCAGAAGTCATGATCAATGTCGAAAGAGTTGCCACTACCACCCCACCACCTCCTACCGTTGGATCAGAATTGACAGCACCTTGTACGATTGTAATCACAACTCCAAAAATCAATCATAGTCCATTTGACGAAGCTGATGAAAAAGGTGGATCTGATTTTATTGTCTCCAATCATGAAATAACCCTAATGAGTCCCCACAGTACTGTGAATAATGAAACAATCGTGCTTGATATTGATTCGGTGGCAGCCACAACAACTACATCAAGTAATAACGTCAGTGTAACATCCACTCCTGAAAGTCGTAGGGCTAGTTCATCATCATCACCATCAACCACCCCAAAGAGAAGTAATAATAGTTCATCATCGTCGATTTTGAGTGCTGGTTCGAAATTGCCGAAAAGACCAGTCACGCCGGCGGAACTTCGGATTTTGAGTCAGACCCAGATTCCGGTTTTTAAGAAGGGGTCGAAAAAGCTGAATCAAGTGAAACAAGTCCAATCCCAGCCGGAAATTGTTGCAAGATGTGCACTTCCCCAGATTCAGAATGAAAAACCAGAACCTCACCCGCCTGCTGTGAATAAACCCAAGAAACAATCACGACTGGTACATAATTTGAAAGCTCAACCACCAAATAATGAGATTATTCGTAGTCGACAAGATATCGAAACCCGAGTCAACACTCCTGAAGAAAAAGGTGGGATTGAATATATGAATAAATTAGAATATAAATCCCGTCAACAACAACAACACCATAAACACGATCATAATTTGGTCGTTCCCACGCCGTCGCATACACAACAACAACGGTCGAGAAGAAGGAGTTCAATTGCGTCATCGATAAGGTCGGGAAGCTCTTGGATTAGAAGGAAATCGTCGGCTGCGTTTGATCTTAGTCATGAAGGTGGTGGAGGAAGTCCTAGTGCTGGTGGAGGAGGGGAGGTTGATGATGATGCGAGGTCGGTGAATAGTATAGCGTTGTCGATGAGGAGTATTAGTAGTAAGAGGAGTGTTAATAAGTTGGTTAATTGGATAAGAAAACGATAGAAGAAGGAGAATGTGGTTTTTGCATTAGTTTTCGTTTTGTATAATATGTTTTATTTATTTTATATGATCCTTTTAGTTTAATTAGAAAACGTTATTTATTTATACTGTTTTTCCAAATGCATATTTCATTGTAATTTATTATTGATAAACTTTATTAAAAGCCATTAATGGGATGTAGAGATCTAAACATCTGACCAACTGAATTGATTCCCATATTCATCAGTATACACCTTCTCATCTTCCATATAACATCCCATCTCTTTTTCTGTTCCTCTCTTACAAAGCGTTTTCACCAACCCATTACTCAACATCCTCTTTCTCCCAATCCGAACCATCCCCAGAATTTCACCTTCCTCCTCGTCACCATCATCCTCATCCTCCTCATCCTCATCCTCCTCATCCTCATCAAACTCAACCTCCCCCGTCTCCTTATCCCAGACCAATCTCCTCGCATACACATCAGTCTCGATAATTGGCAAATATGTAAATATCCTAGTAGTCCAATTCTCACTAGTGGTACACGCAACCGTCATATCCAACAATCTCGCCTTCGCCACTTTTTCCAGCACTTTACTCCCCATAGAAAGTCTAATCGAAGTTAGGTTCACATATGTCCCCAATCCAATATCTCCACCAATTCCCAAAGAGACCTGTGCCTGGACTTGGATTCGATTGGTGAGTTTAATCGTTCCTTGTCCTTTTCCATTGAATGAAAATGTGTCTAAACAGGGTGTGAGTGGTATAGCATGGTTTAGTCTCGTGAGGGTGGTGTTGGAGTGTTTGATCTCGAGGTAGGAGAGTTTGGATAGGGAGTCGGGGTTGATTAGGACGTCGTCATAGGGAACGATGGTGGTGCGCTTGGACAGGATTGATATTACTGATTTGGGATTTTTCGATATGATTTTGATGAATTTGGTGGGGGAGAATGATTCGAGGGTATGGTAGGAGATGTCTGTGAGATGTTGGGGTTCATCTAGATCAATGACTATGGTGGGAGGGGCTAGATTGGGAGGAGGTGGTGCTACTGGTTCATGGCTGCAGATGACTATATTTAGTAGTATTAGTAGGACTAGATAGCTGGTCATTGTTATTTCGTTGTTCAGATTATTTCTTCGTGAATGTTCTCTTTCCATGACGCATGATAAACTTAGTTATTCAAGGTGCATAACAAAAAATTGGTAAACAACGTTATATGGTAAGATAACATTAAGTATGAAGAGATCTAACGTCCCAAGTAGACCAAACATAATCTACATTTTTGAGATTGAGGTTGTTTAATAAAAAGCAAAGAATTGCAACATTTTTTGCAGCCAAATAATTTTCTAAATAAATAAACACACACACACTATTTAATCTATAAACAGTAGCAATTATAATTCCCAATGTTTCATTTCTTCTTGATCTTTATTATAATCAATTAAACCATTATCACATAAATTAATATTCATCTCATTACACAAGATACATTCTTTTGTTAAAATATCATCTAATTCTCGTTTATTAACCACACTTGGATCTCGTTTAAAACTTTGATAAATCTTTTTAAATTTATAATTTAAATTTGGTAATTTAAAATAATTTCTCATTAAACATTCTTTATGAAATCCATGATGACAATTGGGGAAAAATATAAAATTTTGTCCAACTAATAATTTATTACATAAATGACATGGTTCACCTGGTTCAATTATAGAATAGATTTTGGCTTGATTGGTGATTTTGGTAGAATCACGGACTTGTTGTTTTAATTTGGATGAGATGGTTAATGATTCTTTCATTTCCATTGAAAGTTGGTTGATTTTGTTATTGTATTGATTTAATGAGTTTACGATTTCATCCTTGAAATTATTGATCATGATAGTTTCGGGGAATAATGGTAATAAGTCTTTTAACCCAAGTACATTATTGGTATTAGTTCCTGAATTGGATAATTGTAAGATATATGTCAAGACTTTATTTAGTTTTTTCACTTGAAGAGCATTTATAGCATCTTTATCGGATTGGTTACTGGCACCAGTTATCGAATTGGCAATATCATTCGTTAAGCCTTTGATAGGATTTGATTCCTTAGAATCTTTCCGAGTAGGCTCTTTGATCTCATTACTATCACCCTCATCCTCATCATCAATGACAGGAATCCCCACTTTTCTTCCCTTACATACCCATTCAATCAAATGTTTCGAAAACCTAAGCCATAACTTCTTCCTCTCACTATAACTAGCTTCCTCCAATTTTATTCTATTAAGAAAATCTTCTTCAGGTTTATGATTATCATCATCACCATGTGCATAATAATGGTCATTTTCCTCATTATATTTCAATATTCCAACTTCTTTATTCTTATTGATATATTCATCATATTTCGTGAGGACAAATTCACCCAAATTAATCAAATCATTATTTAATGCAAGTTCCAAAGCTTGATCGAATAAATTTAATTCTTGAATTAAGATGAATATTGCGGGTTGGTATGCTTGATGAGAAATACATAATCTTAGGATGAAATATACATCATATAGTTGTGATTTTTTGGATTTTGTATCTAATGCGGCATAGTTTATAAATTTGGTGATTTGTTTGTTGATTTGGGATTTTGATTCTTGGTTTTTATAAGTGATTAATAATGATAAATAATAATTATTTAACTGTTTACTTTTGTATCCTTTTTCATAGATTATCTTTTGCATGAATTGAATAGCATAATTATCAATTATTGGAACATGGGAATTTGATTTACAATATGTTAAAATTGCAGGTAAGAATTTATCAAAATCCATTGTATCTGAAATATCTTGGCTTGAACTTAATCGTAACCAACTATCGATTGAACCCTTGGGATAATTCAATAATAGAACCGTTGAATATTTATATATCAATTCCTTCAAATCCTCCATCTTAGAAGATGAATATATCTTGATAATAACTTTATTTGAATTTTTCCAATCTCGAATATCAATATAATATTTAAGTATAAATTCATAATCTTCAATCAATTCAGCATAATATAATAACTTTTCTTTACAATTCATATCATTCATGATTTCATATACAGTAGCTGGATCAAGATGTTTATAGTTTTTATTTATAAATTCTTGAAATATTTGATTTAATTGATCAAGGAAATTTTCTTTATGAATTCTTAATTGGGTTTGAACTTTGTCCTTTGACAATTCATTTTCTAATCGATGAATTACTCTTAAGGTTAGCTCAACTATCCAACTTGATAAAACAACCATTCTAACTTGATTTCGTTCAATATCTTTTGCAATGGAATACTTCACCAAAAGATACTCAACTAGCAAACGTTCCGAAATTATACTCAACAAAGAAGATGAATTATCAATTAATGTCAACGATGATACCGATGAGGAAGCAACCGCATCCAATTTGGAATGTGAACTTATATCCAACAACATTAAACAAATCTTTTCAAACGGCTCAGTCAGTTTCGCCAATATATTAATCCCCTTAACTTGCAATTTAATGAAATCATCATGTAATGGAGATTTCTCTCTATCATTCTTATCCTCCACATCCAAAGTATAATCAACCCCGAATCCTCCTTTTTGTAATAATTCATATCCTTGTTTAATCAATACCAAATCTTTCTTAAAGAAATTATTTTCTTGATTTTCTAAACATTTCAATGCTTCAACATATTTCCCTATTTTATAATAATCATACCAAATCAGAATTGATTCATTTTGAATAACTAATTCAAATATTGAATTCTCGGTATATAACCAATAGGTATGAGACAGATAATCTGCAGTTATTCCATGGATTCGTTCACCTGGTGATATGAATTGTTTTAAATTTAATTTAATTGGTGGTTTTGTTAATGCCAATTTATTAAATATAACCAAATTTTCAGAAGAATGCGTTAATCCAACAAGATGATGATCAGTTAGGAGAATCTCGTGTAATGTCCCTTCACTAAATGATAGGTTATCAACTTGTGATAATTGGATTTCTTGATCATTGGAATATAAATCTTGAGAAATTGGATCAAATATGATAAATTCTTGAGAATTTGTTGCAAATACCATTCTGGATTTCGATTTTGAAAGACTAAGTGGAGTAATTTGTGGAGAAGTGGATTTGAATACTTTGATTAATTCATTATATGAGGTATCAAAACAATCCCAAGTGTATAATTTATTATTTGAGACCATATTTATTTGTGATTTGTTATTGGAGAAAGTTAGACCTTGCAATGGATGATCTAATTTAAACACTGATTTCAAATACTTATCATCACGTTTCTTATCTTGAGTAGTTGGATCATGTGGCTTTATTGACCCAAGATATATTGTACCATCTTGTGCACCTATCAATAAGGTTTCCGTTGGACCAATAGTTGATGATGTTCCTCCAGATGATATCATTGACGGATCAGTTTCTCCTCTTGGAAATGCAATTTGTGTGATATTTATCCCTTTAAATTTAGGTAATGGTTTAAATGAAGTATAATAATTATTTAAATAAAAATAATTAAAATCATTAGTTTGAACAATTAAATGAAATCCATTTGGATGTAACCAAATATTCTGTACTTTTGTTAAGCCTGTACCAACAGTTGGTATTTGATATTTCTTAACTTGTGAAGGATTATCTAAATCAATCTTATAAAGAGTTGAATGATCAAGTAATAAATACATAATATCATTCTCTACCAACAATTGATTCAATTTATGATTGATATTGAATTGTAATTGAACCGGTTCTATATCAAATGTTGGATGTTGTAATTGATTATAGATTGATGCTTGTTGTTGATCTAATGATGTTGTTGTATATGAAGAATTCAATGATTCCGTAGGAGCAAATGTCGGACTGCCCCTTTGCTTGCCATTGCGTGACATTGTATCAAATGGGGTTGATATAGATAAATTGTATTACTAGTGTTATTAGTTAGTAGATATCTTTCTCGCTAAAGAGCTGAATGGTGTTTTGGTTGAAAATGGTAAATGTCGTTTAGTAATTTGATACGAACCAAAAATGTCTCTTAACTTATATGGGGAACGACATTGTACGCTACCATGTTTCAAATGACGTTAGTTTCTTCCCAGGTAATCCCATCCCCATGGATAAGATCCTATAATCCACTATCTCTTCCCTCCAACCCCTTTCCCCCGAAGCAAATTCAAACCTACGATAATCTATTAGGAGACCGATCACAGCTATTGAAACCAAATTCTTTCCAATTTTTCTATCACCATAATTGAAATCCTAGATCAAATTCTAAAATCACCACAATTGAAATCTTTGATTAAATTCAAACCTCACCACAATGGAAATCCACATCAAATTCGCAAACCCATTGTACTTGTTAATTCCAACCTAGATTAATACAAACCTTCTTTCGTTGAAATCAGAATAATATCCATCACACAAACTATCCATTGGTCAGGTGGTTAATCCAGTATGAAAGAAATAATTCAATCCATTGAAATCCAGTCAAACTTTCTCCAAATTGTATTGCCACCAATTTCTCGTTTTCATTGGACTCCACTTGTAATTCTTCCCAATTGATCCATCGTCAACAGCAAAAACTCATTGAATTCCTAATTTCATTACTTATTCTTTGTCATTTCCAACCTTAGATTAAGACAAACCTTCATCCATTTAAATTCAGATAGCAAACCCATCACACAGAACTAACCATTGGTCAGGTGGCTAATCAAGTATGAAAGGCTTAATTAAACTGATCCATGAAATCTAGCCAGGCTCTCTCTAAGTTGTCTATGGTCATCAATTGTACTCGATGCTTTTTTTTTTGTGTGTTTTAATACAATAGTGGGAAAATTTGATTTAAAAGTAATGATTAATGTATCATGGCGGGTGATGGAAAGATAATGGCCTCGTTTACTAATAATAGTAAACAGGACAATGAATATTATTATTGAGGAAATAGGATGAATGATGGTTGAGATTGATTTGTGGATCCTGAGAGCCGATTATTCTCTGTGGTCTAATTTTATTTCTGTGGTTTAATTGCTCCAAATGGGCCCCATTTTCTCTCTAACAACCATACATTCCTGAACATTCAATGACATAAAGGCTTTTATTGGATTGATGAGATTGGTTTTGAATGAATTAAGTATATTATTGAATTGGTGAGTTGTTCTTTGTGGAAAGTAAAAGAAGAAAAGAAACGGAGAACAATTTTAATTTTTTCGCAATTTGGGCGTCTAAAATATTGCTGCAAATTTTTGGAACAAACACAAAAAAACAAATCGAAGAATCTAGACCCATGCAAAGAGACCAACATAAACCAATTCTAGGTGCTAAGCATAACGGTTAAGGATATGTAGGAAGGTCAAGTTTCTAGCAATACCTTTCTCTTTATGATCTATGAAATAATCAGTACAATTAATCTAACAAGGTCATTCTCTGTTGGAAAGATGATGTTTAAATTGGTATATCAGTCGTGTAAAGCATCTATAAGTTACACCCCATGTATAAGTGAAGAAGGAAAGATAACATCAAGGATAAATTATATTTCACTATCTCCTACCCATCCATCATATCAAGTTGACTGACTAGCTCAGTCTTAAACAGATCACTAGTACTATTCATTTAGTCTTGGTAGTTAAAAGAAACCATTGAATTTTGCAACACATTTTTTTTCACATCCAAATTAATTAATGATAAATTCTCATGGCTAGCTTATTTTAAAATGGATTATTAATTCATTTAGTTAAAGCTATACACTACTTAAGAGCTAATATGAGGTGGCGAGTACTTTACTCTCGTCGTTGTCACATTTTGCGAACCTCACCTCTGGTGTGCAGGAGACGATACAATACTTTTTACCAGGGTATTAACAAATATTTGCAACAATAGAGATCGGATGAATTACTTGATATTATACAACAGAGAACTTTGAATATCTTCTTGCGATGATATATCCTCCAACCCTTTCTTCTAACTTGAAAGCGTGGGACAAGATCGCTTGATCCGATGTGCGGTGACACCGTTTCCATTGCTACTTGAACAAATCTTCATTGTGAACATACATCATCACAAGAAGACATTAAAAGCTATCACCCTGAGGGGAGAATTCCGTTATCTTAACTTATACGTATCCACTGGGAAAACGATTCAATGCTGTTTCGTTAAATTATCTAGAATTTTCCTTTGAGAACTAGGGTTCGAAGGATAAACACATTATTAGACTTAAGATCCATATATAGATCTTGATGCACCATACTAACAAACTCTTCATAAAGAATTCGAATTCCTTAGGTGATATATTCAACCATCTTTAGGAAGTTTCAATCCAAAAGGAAATCTGATAATACTTCGCATTATCAGATCTTTCATCTTGATAGTTAATATACCGAGCCCATCCTTTTACTGGATGCTTTTTATCGTAGGGGAACAGAATTAATTGGTTTTTCGGTGTACTGCCATTGTAGTAATACAATTTACTTCATTTTACACTTAATGTTAGCGCAAACTCTAATTCTCTACAATAGCATAGCCCTTTTCTTTAATTAATGACCTTGTTTAGTTTAATTAAATTTCGTAATGGGCTATGCTAATTATAAAATGAAAAGTGTGAGTGATGATTCCATGTATTTTTTCTGTCTAATTAACCGATTTTGTATCATATTCGTATTCTCTCCCCCTTTATAAAAATATTCTCACTCGGTGTTAGATCCACTCACCCACCATCCCCGCTAATTAATTAATTCTGCTGGCTATCTCTTTTTTTCAACTTAAAATTTCATCATCCACTTTTAATTACACACATACCCTCAATTGATAATAGTTACACACTCAATTGATACTTGTAATAAACAACGATGAATGTTTTAAAAT